TAAGCAGTCAATTGAAGGAAAATTAAATGGCAGGAATGCTCTGGGTTGGGAAGGTAGGAGCAGGAAAATTTTGACACTGGTACATATCCTATATTCCTCCAACAGGTTGTGTGGGGCGGGAGGGGGGTGGCGTGGGGGGGGTGTGTGCCCTTGTAACCATAAAACATCTTTCTCCATGGGTGTTTCAGCTTCAACTGACCAATCACGTAACAGTTAAGTTTGGGGAAAAAAAGAAAAGTCTATAAAAGTGTAGCCCATGGCATATATGGGTATGAAAGCAGAAAAGAGGAGGAGGTAGGGATATCTCACTGACAAACACCTTTGCCAGTTTCTTTGTATTCGTGATTTTTGTGCTATTTAATGCAGTATTAACAAAAGAAAAGCCTACATGGCCTAGTGAAAGATGGAAGAAGGGAGCTTGTACAAAGGGAGCAATTGCTCCAAAAGTAGACAAGACAAGAAATACTATAAGCAACCTACACAGACAGGCTAAGAGTATAGTGCGTGAGTGTGTTTTTTGATTTTTTTTTAAAGCTGTATGATATACTTGAGCAAATCAATGAATCTCTTTGCGATTGTTTTCTCATCTGTAAAATGCAGATAATTCCTACCGTAAAGGGTTACTATAAAGATTAAATATAAAATGTGTCAAATTACAAAGCTTTGGAACTTTGTAGGAGTTCAGTGAACATTTGTTGGATCCGTATCTGAAACTTCTTTGACCATGTCCAGAATGCATCAGGGGTACAGATTGGTCTCACCTAAGACCTATGGACAGAAAGGTCACACGCATGCACACACACAGACACACACTCACACACATACACAATTCCCTTCCCAACACTCTCTCCTTGGAGACCCAAGGCAATGGACTCCACTATTGTCCCTTGTATACAAGGCATCACCGTCAGTGCCACACCCAAGATTGGGCGGAGGGACAGGAGAACCACAGCCACCCTCTAAAAAGTCATTATTTTGCCCATTTGGAAGATAGTCCTGTTGTTTTCATGACTTGGCACCCCAGTGGTTGGACTTTGAGGGCCAGTAAGCTGCCATGCTTCCACATGAGGCTGTTATTGGTAGTCTTTGCATTCTGAAAGCATGAGTTTAGCTTTTACATTTACATAGATAAATGTATGTATAGATCAGTAGAAAGACTTTTCCAAAACTCACTGGTCCATTAAAACAGGGATATTAATAGAGTGACTTGTTGGTCTCTCCCTGATTCCAACAGAGGGCAGAGCAGCCTGAGAGAGCTAAGCCCAAACAGATGGGATGAGCCCAGGATGGGGTAAGCACTGGTGATTTCTTCCTTTCTTAGTATCAGGTACAAAAGTACCTACTACCTAGAAAAGCCTTGGGAAAACTGAATGTGTATCAGATCCATGGGGCTTGGATCCAGTGGCTCTTATAAAAGACTGGTCTCCCGCTTAGCCTCCTATCTACTTTGTGGTCAATTTATTTGGAAATAAATATTTATTAATGTGGCTAGTTGTTTACAAACTGCATCCCCAGCTAGCTCATAGGCTCCTTGAAGACAGTTGTTTTGTCTCCTCTTGTAACCTGCTGCATTCTCAGCCCTAAGCACAGTTACTGGCACATAATCATTTTCAAAGCATTTGCTGAATGAATGAGTAAATGAACCTATACACCTCCCTTTCATAAAATTTTCATCAACACCCAGAGCCCATAATCTTTAGGAGAAAATATAAAAAGTTGTTATTTTTGGTATTTTGCAAGATGGAGGAGGTCAAGAGATGGGTAGCCTCTAATGATATTTGGCAATTTCATGCGGGGTCTCTGACTACCTCTGGGGAAGTGTCTTTCCACCTGGGAAAACACAACCCATGTCCTCAGTCCTCTTCTCTGCCAGGGGAAGAGTTCAATTAGGCATGCACCACTAGATTCTGACTACTTGAACAGAAACAGTCTGTTATTTTTAAAGAAACATTTGTATTTGGAAGTAATTTCAAATTTACAGAAAAGGTACAAAAATAATACATAGAACATCCATATACCCCTTACCCAGATACACTGATTGTTAACATTTTTACCCCTTTGCTTTATCATTTATAGATACATACTTTCAAATATGTGTGTGTATATTTTTGAACCATATGAGGGTAGGTTGCATACATCATAGCCCTTCATACCTGAATACTTGAGCATGTGTTTCTTAGGCATAGTCCCATATGTCACCACAGTGTAGTTGACAGCTTTGGTAAATTTAACATTAATACAATATGAATCTACCATTCATACTCCCATTTTGTCTGTTGGTCCAATAATGTCCTTTATAGCCTTTCGCCCTTCAGAGGATCTGATCTAGGGTGAGGTAATGCATTTAGTTGTCTTGTCTCTCTAGCTGTTCATCTGGAACATTTCCACGATCTTTCTTCATCTTTTATGACGTTAGCATTTTTAATAGAACATTCCTCATTTTTGGGTTTGTCTGATACAGAAACTGTCTTTTAAATACCCTGCACTCAGGAATAGTTCTAAGAGGAACAGATATGAATTGCGTGAGACTGCTGAACCTGACATCCTTGTTTTCACTGGTGGAAGGCACAGACCACCAGAGGGAGCAGTTGTGCCTGGCACTTCCTGATTGAACCACGTACCTCTTCTGCTCTGGAAAACACCATTGTCCCTCAGCAACAGGGGAGCCATTCAAGCCCAGCCCTATCCCCTACCAACCCCAAAACTGAGCTCTGGAATGTAACAGCAGCCAGGGCCTATTTTCAGATCATACCACCGTGGGACCCAGGGCATCATGTATTCAGCAGGTATGTGCCACCTGGAGCTCAGACAGACTGAGGCATGTTTGAGCATGTATGGCAGGAACATGGGTGGGCATCCATGGTTGAGGCATTTAGGGGGGTCAGGAGGTAATAAATACCCTTGGCACATTCATTAACATATTGATGGTGGGCACAGCAGCTGTGGTGGGGGAGGGTGGGTACTCCTTGTTAAGCAGCTTCATGGGCAGAGTACACAAATAGGGGCCCAGGATAAGTAAGAAAGAACATGGGAGATGCTTAAAACATTTGTTTTTAACCTACTGGGGACATCAAAACACAGCTGGGTTCTTTTATATGGGGGATGTGGAATTCCTGTGTGAGCAAATGGGAGCAAGACACAGTGAAATTTAGGATACTTTAACTGTGACTCCATCTACATCCACAAGGTTGTAAAGCCTGGGGAAACTCTTAGAAGTTGACTGGAGGGAAGCAGGGGAGGTGCCTTTGAGTCACTGGTAATGTTTCTTGATCTGCGTGGTGTTTACAGAGATGTGTTCATATGTAGATTTATGATCCGGGATCAGAACGGCACAGGTGAAAAATGGGTGCTCACAACTGAGAGTCTTAACCACTCATAGAGCTAAGAATGAGAAGCCAAAATGTGGGATACATTCCTTTCATCCATTACACTTGCTTCCTAGGTTTTTTTAGCCTGACCCAATTAGAAATCCAGAATCCTACCTCTTTCTGGAGTAGCCAGATGCTAAACCTAACTTTGGCCTACTAGGTAACACCTCACTTCTTCCCCATCCACAGGGAATCCTGATCAGAGATGCCATCAACCAAGAGGTCTTTTCCAATCAAGAAACAGAGTGGCCCCCATACAACTCATGTTGTCATAATGCAGTAGACCTGGTGCCAGGAACCTGTTTCTCTCCAAACATATATTTCAGTCTCAGAAGTGAAGGCCCAAGACTTCTGAGAGTATGTAGTCCAGCACTAACAGCAGTGTGTCCTTACACACATACCTTCCCCTGCAGATGACCCAATGCCATTTTTAAACGTTTGTATTGAAGTATATCAGATATACAGGAAAAGCGTGCAGCATGATGAATTTCTGCAAAATGAACATGTCTCTGTAAATAGCACCCAGATCAAGAAACAGAACATTACCAGTAACTCAAAAGCATCCCTCCTGCTTCCAGTCAAATTCCAAGGGTAATTAATCCCTATCCTGACTTCTTTCACTCAGATCAATGTTGCTTGTTTTCATACCTTTTATAAATGGAATCATTCAATATGTATTCTTTTGTGTCTGGCTGCTTGTGCTCAACATTATTTTATGAGCTTCAGATCTGAAGCCTCTTGTCAAGAAAAACTATGAGGAACTTCAGTAGTCCCAGGGAGCCCTGCTCTTTCCCAGTGATTTCTGACTTACTGAAATAATTAAAAGGGACCTGGGCTCTCATAAAGCTGGACCTCCAGAGTGTCATCAGGTACAAGGAATGGTGGACAGAAAACAGCCTTCTAGATAAACTTGGACTAACTTAAGTACCAGAAATGCCATAAATATTGGGCAGCATCCCAGGCCTGTTACAATAGCTCCTGAATGGGAGCTGTCCCAGCGGGTACTCATCTATTTGTTTTCATGCTATAGTACTTGAGCCCAAGGAGTCCATGGAGATGCTCTTGGGGGGCAAAGTGAGAGTATATTAGTGAGGATCAAGAACACTCAACCCCATTTCAACCAGAGGAGCTCCTCTTTTATTTGTATAGTGGCTAAGGCACTTGACTGTTAACCAGAACACTGGCAGTTCAAACCCACCAGCCACTCCTCAGAAGGAAGATGAGGCAATCTACTTCCATAGTGATACTGCCTCGGAAACCCAAGGAGAGGTCGCTATGAGTCGG